TATGATCTTTAATCTATGCTCTGATCCCTAATAATATTTTTATAAGAACTGTGATTTACTGAAGTGTTCTCTTTATATTGTTAAATACACATATAATGGTTTGTAAGAATGACGTTGGGAGACAAAAGAAGGAAGAAAAATCTACTCAATGGTTACATAAGTGTGACAGATTAGCCTGCCGAAGCAAAGCGACAAGGCAAACATCTCAAGAGGAACACATTCCATCCATTCTTTTGGTCCATAAAAATGAGAGGATAAAAATGTTCATTCAGTATTTAAAGTTTCTGCTACTATAACCTTACAATAAAGGTAGTGTTCATATTCATGTTGATGCTTCTTCTCTAGACTCCCTCCAAGACTGGCATGAAGATTACAAAATCCCTCATGAATAAGAAAGGAATGGAGGCTCTATTGGGAGATGGGGATATTTTTATTTGTTTTATTGTTTTCACATAGGAAATATCAGATAAGTCTGTTTCACATAGATATGCCATCAACCGTTTATAATAACCAACCGTTTGCGCCTTGCTAGCTTAAACCCATAAGAGGGAACCCATCAGAGACATATCTTTTTCCTTCACAGTTTCCCTCTTCAAAATAGACCAATTAAAAAAGACCAGGCTGAGAAGTCTATGACATCATTTGATATGTTTTGCTTCTCAGGATTGTCAAAGTACCTGCTGTGATGCTGCAACTTGTAAGCTGAAACCTGGGAAACAGTGTGATGCTGAAGAGTGTTGTGAGAAATGCAGCGTAAGACTTGTTTATTTTTAACACCAAGAGAGATTTTACCCTGCTCCATGCTAGCCATATAAAAAGATATTATCTCTTGGCTGCTTACTATGATCAAAACATTTTAATCTATTCCTATCCCCTCTTCCAGCTTATTTGACCCTTATGAACATATCCATAGGGAGGATAATGTAACAAACAATTTCAGCAAAATACCCACTTTCTGTACATTAAATCTCTGAAAATAATAAATTTGTTCTTTGATTGACTTTGCATGGATGTTCAATTTAAATAAATGTGCCTAATGTTTGAGATTGATGCCCTAACTTAGCTCCTTGACTTTTGGGTAGGTTCTTGGATGTCTCTGGTAATGCTGTGACATTTTTCTCACTGAGATTTTTAGGATGGAAATAGGTTTAATAGATTTCTGGAAATAAAATAGCTTCTCTCCCACACCCTCCTTAAATTGTCTACCTGATTTCTAAAGCTCTAAATTCAGTTATTTTGGTGGCACATTCTGGAGGTGCTGCAGGTTCATGGAGAGAGAGATGCAAGTTCCTAATTACTTCTATAAAGGTTCGCAGAGGGGCCCAAATCATTTTGTTCCTTCCACATTTTCATCACAAGCCCAGATTCATAGGAAGAGAAGACATTTTTCAGCACCACAGAAAATTCTGTGAATGCTTCTTCCGATGTAAGGAAATAAAAATATATCATGAGAAGTTCATCAATTAAACTTTGGCTACTTTTTCATAGCAACCTAATTGATTTTCACTTCACGGTCAGCCAATATGTAAGTCTTGTGTTTCAGGAATCGAGCCTTTCATTGCAATCATTTTCCCATAGCAAAGAAGACAGGCTGCAACTGTCTTCTAGGCACAATGCACAATTGCAAAATGGCAATTTTTTGCAAGGGATGCCTTGCTTAGTAATCCTCAAGAAGATGAAGAGGACATTTTGAAATGTGTTATGAATCATAGTTTGACTCTGATCTCTGCTGCTAAAGAATTATAGGTGGGAGTATTTTCCATTCTCACCCACAGTTTAAGAGNTTGGATTCACTTTCAGTTTCTTGGCAGACTAACAATAAACAAAGTATTCTGTTTTCTTTAGGATCATACCAAAGAAACACGTTTGATGGCATCTACAATGGCCCATGAAATGGGTCATAATCTGGGCATTAATCATGACACAAATACCTGTAATTGCGCTGCTGAGAAATGCATTATGTCTCCAACAATAAGGTAAGATTGAGGAACACTTTTAATTACTTTACAATGAAGTTATTTTTAAACGTTTGCAATTGTGATTTATGACTGGTCCTCATAGTTACAGCCATTACAACCTCCCTTCTGTCACAGAATTAAAATGTGGGCAGTTGGTGATACCAGTATGTATTAATGGCGGTTGTAGCATCCTGATTCATAATCGTTATTTGTGACTTATTTGATTAATACACACTTTCCCAGCTGTCTTCCCATATGCAAAGCCAATGGAGCAAGCTGGAATCCTTTAATGACTTTGTGATTCACTTAACAAAGTGGCAACACTGGTTGTAAAATTGAGCATCACTCACTTAAGAACTGGCTTGCTTGGCAATGGAAATTCTGTGATATCAAGTCAAGGACTACCAATATTTTGTCCCAGGTGCATGTTTAGCCTTTGCTTCATCAAGAGGGAAAAACAAAAGGGAAAAGGAAGCCAAACAAATTGAAGGAATCTTCTCAGCAATTGTCTATTGCAAAACTCACCATAACTTTTGTGTAAGACTTTTGTATAGGCTCGGTGAGCATGTCTCCTATCAATCACTTTCTGGTATCCTCTGCTAAAGCCCTAGGACTTCATTGTCTCATATTTCATGCAATGGGGTCAGGAAGTATGGAGAATGCTAGGTAGCTTTTCGTGTACTTATTGAAAGATTTCTGGGCATCATGATTACTTTTTAATATTTCTAGACACTTCATGGTGTTTTGTATAGAAGACCTTGCTCAGAAAACAATGTCGGTCAATGAATGCCACGAAATGGGCCTATTTAATGGCTACCAGCAATGATTGATTGAAGGGCTAATGTTTATATTCCTATTGATTTGTATTAACATTAGGATGGTGATTGGGCTTATGATACCATGCTTGCATTTATTTAAAAACACAGCTTCAGAGGACAGTGTGGCATTGCCGATATTATGACCTTTTCAACAAAAGAAATCAACAATGAATAGTTTAAGGCAAATAGAGAGTTAGTATACTTAGCTCTCTATTTGCCTCAAAGTATTCATGGTTATAAAAAGTACTATATCTNAGAGTTTACAGAAACAGAATAGGAAGCATAGCCCAAGAAACAAAATATCTGTGATGGATAACAGAGGGAAGCAGGTTAGACATTAAAGACTTTCCACAATAGGAAGCAGAATTGGGGGGGGGGGGATTATTGTTTTCCCTTGCCCCTTGTAACATGAAAGGTATGTTACATCTCTGCCATATATTGCATTCTTCTGAAACTAACAGGGAACAACATACAGGTAGTGATTGACTTATAACCATTTGTTTAGCAACCATTCAAAATAACAATGGCACTGAAAACAGTGGTTTAGGACTGGTCCTCCCAGTTACAGCCTTCACTGCTTCCCTTCAGTCACAGAATCAAAATTTGGGAAGTTGACGACACCAATATGTATTTACGGTGGTTGTAGCATCCTGCGTTCATGTAACCGTCATTTGTGACTTTCCCATCTGTCTGACATTAGCCATCCCTTTTCCATCTTATATGTTCTTGCAATGGATTCTGTTCCTACTTCAGATATGGATGATGTGCTAATCTTATTTTGTTTCATCTCTGCAGTGATGTCCCTCTCTATGACTTCAGCTCTTGTAGTCTTGAGCAATGCAAGACTTTTCTAACTTCAAAACTCCCAGAATGCATTCTCGACAAACCCTCCAAAACAGATGTTGATGCACCTGCAGTTTGTGGAAATTACTTTGTGGAGGTGGGAGAAGAATGTGACTGTGGCTCTCCTGAGGTAATTTTTTTTTAAATCAACAAGAGTGTTTTCAAAAATTTTCTCCTTGAAAAATCATCTGGCTATATAAGTGGTTTGAGCCATGCAATAGGTTGGTTTCTGAATGGCATAGGTTTATGTGCTTTATGTACATACATGAATGCTGTGGCTTCTCAGATTTAAGGAACCAGTCATGGAGGAATAAAGAACTGGTATCTCACTAACAATTGGGGAAGACAGCATATTTTTAAACATAGGTGATTTACCTCTCCAACAAAATTCTTCCCTACTGAAAACCCTATTTTGTTGACATGGACACATTATCTGTCCACTATTTTCCTGAGCTGCTTCCTCCCAGAACTTATGATCTTTAATCTATGCTCTGATCCCTAACAATATTTTTATAAGAACTGTAATTTACTGAAGTGTTCTCTTTATATTGTTCTTCACAATTTTTTTTAATTTTAATTTTAATTTTA